TTATGTAAGAATAATTATTAGCTATTACAATAATGAAGTAGTATTTATAAATAAAGATACAAATAAAATTATAAATGATCAATCGATGATGCTTGTGAATTATTTTGATGTTAAACTCTCCATTTGACAATTACTGTCAAAAGCCCAAATTTTTGTGTAGAAAATATTAAATAATTATAAATAAAAATGTGTAAAATTGTAATTTATCCAATATGTTCATTTTTTAAAATATTTGAAAGCAGAATACATAAACAATCATCTTAATCATTGTATCTAAAATCATTTTCATTTATCCATATTTTAATTCCTTCTTTCTTTCTCTAAAGCATACAACAAAAAAAAAAAAATTGAACCACTCTGCACTCTAAGTTAATTTTTTAGTTTTGTATGAACAAGACTGAAATTCGAAATTATTATTTCTCAATTGATACTGAGCTGCATAGTCTGGAAAGTAAATATAATATATCATAGTAAAAAATATGGATTTATCGTTTCTTACGAGACACAAAAATAAAATTTTAAGAAAAAAGTATTTTGTGAAATGATTCTACATTTTTCCTTAAGGGGACGCGGTACCTTTTCTTTCAAATCTTTTATTATTAACCTTGGTAACAATTTATTGATTGAAATATATTCTTAAGGATTATGAAGAACTTATCCTAAATTCAGAAATTTGAAAAAAAAATTTTTTTTTCATTTTTTTTAAAAAATTTCAAAAATTTCAACTATTTTTTAAAACACTACTCCTCTCTCAATTTTCCTTATTTTTCCATGAAACTTTTACAATATCATCATTGAAAGGTGCTTAACAGAAAATGGTATTCATTTTATAGAGAGATGTTTAGAAATTTTGAAAAAGATTATTTTCTGAGGCAATGTAGCGTAATAGCATAAAAATTCAAAAATTTCAAGTTCGACAATTTTTTAAAAAAAAAACTTTCAAACTGATTAAAAAATCCATACCATTTTTCAATCATCATAGTATCACAAACTTGTGTATCAAATATCTAAGTATTTCAAGCAATAGTAAAAAAGCCTTAGGCTTTTATAGAAGGCGGAAATTTAGAAAAATTGGTTTTGAGAAAAATGGGTTTAAATTGAATATGTGAAGGTACCGCAAAACCGTGGTAAATTTGGCTTGGACAGACCCCTGTACTTTAACTATTAAAGCAAAGTTTCAATTAGCAACCGTAATTTTAATTTAAAATTGTGATTTCATTTTTTTTCTCTTGATTTTTAAAATGCCAAAATAAATGTAGCAGATTGTGTTTATAAATGTAGTCTTTAATCATTATATTTTTATATTAAAATATTCATTTTTAATTCTATACCAAAACAGATAAGTTAAGCTAAAAATTTTTTTTTTTAAAATCTGTGTACTCATTGGAATTTTTCCCCACGAAATGTCTTTATAGAAAATCAGATAATGTCAAAGATACTGTAAACATATTATGAGAAAAGAATACCAATTAATGACCGTACTGCTTCAAATAGACTTTGAAAGAGTCTGAAAGGGAAGAATGACACTATATCAGGAAAAAAATATCTGAATTCATCAGCCTTTTTCTTCCTATTTTTGGCATATTAGGGTACTAATTTCTTTTTAATATAACCTCAAGCTTCAGAGATATACATTTCCAGCAATAAAATATAATGTAGATTTTAATTCCATGCTTTTTCATTCAAAAAGTAGAATTTTAATTAACTTTATTTGCATTATTTTTTGAAAAAAAAAATAATGTTTATTAATTACCTTCTACAGCTATGCTAGTCTATATGAAAACAGCATTAAATGTTTAGTTTAATCTGTACTTTCAAATGTGTTGGAATTTAACACACACAAAGAAGGAAAGTAATTTCGTTAACTAAAATTAATTAATGCAGCAATTTATTTAAAATAAATTTTTAAACTAGGAAAAGAAAATAATAAAAATATCAATAATTTAAAACACTGTTTTTTAGCTTCTAAAATCAATATATATATTAAAAAAAAATAATTTAAATCAATAATTTAAAAAATAATAATAATTTGATTTATATCAAGCTGATTTAATCAACAAACCCTGCTAGAAAGTAGAGGTACTAAAGCTATTATAGCATAATAAAATAACATGTACCTAACTATGTTATTTATTTTAATAACTGCACTAAATATTAATAGTAATTTAGTTAAAACCTTGATTGATTAAAAATTAACCCATTTAAACATTGACATTTTTTATAAATTACGCTCATTTATCAGTGAACTAATTGAACATTAATAAAATTGACATTAGTTGACTAATATTGGAAAGATTCATGTATATATTAGCAGGAGTGCAGAAAATTCTCGGAGCCTAATATTCCCAATAAACAAGGTATCTTTTTAAAATCAATTGCCACAAAAATTTTAGCTTTTTTTTACAAAAAAATTTTTTTTTTTGGAAAATAAAGTTTATATAAGAAAAAAATTCATTTGATTTTACCCAATGAATAAACTAGCATATGTGTTATTAAATAATAGAAATCAAAATATATTGTAATAGTAGTAATTTTTTCTAATAAATTTAAGGTAACAAAAGAAACTCAAACTATAATAAATGCATAAATTGTTGTTCTCCAATGTTTTTTTTAACAAGAAAGTTTTGCAAAGCGTCACATTTTTTAACAAAACATTCTGTAGGAATTTTTTTAGACCAAAAATTTCCCCATGGTTGCCTGAATTTCCTCAGAAGTCAGACATATTCTGCTCACCAAAAAAATTAACAAAGATTGAGAATCAATAAAATAAAAAAATTTTACGTTGAGATCAGACAATTATTGTGTACACTTTCATTTTATTTAATCTAAGAAATCTGCCTGAATTAATAACATTAAAGAATTAAAATCAATATTTTTATTGATAATAACTAACAACTGATAGTTATTGCCTGTAATACAATAAACCAAATAGTTATAAAATGAGTTTTAAAGTATTAAAATTGCCATTAGAAGAACCAGTTTATAATTTTAATAATTGTTGCAACATTTTTTAAATATGAAATATAATGCAAGTAATGTGTATATTTTAGTATCTAATAAAATGTCTCCAATGTCAAAATTTCCCCTGGTTTTTGACATTTTTTGGTAGGTTTTTGACTCGTTATATCAAAAACCAGTTTTTTTATGTTAAAAACCCACCCTGATTGCAATACAATAACCAGCTTTATTTAAATATCAAAAAATAAAAAAGTTCTATTTATCTACCACTACCTGATACTTAACTATTCAGTTTCTTTGTCTCTTCTGTAAAATTAGTTTTGTTTAAAATGACTGGTTTTCGAAATCATTGAATCTATTTTTTGGGAGCTATACCAACAACAGTTTCTAAAAAATATATATTAATACATAAGGGATTGATTTGTTAGTGTGAATTAATAATTAATTATAAAATTTGTTTACGAAATTCTGAATATTTTTAGCATATTTAACCAGGGTTGGTGAGATTTTGCCGCAGGTGGAAAAGACCATCCTGGCAAAACAGGTTTTTGTCAAGCAAAGCGGCAAAAACCTGTATTTTCCAAGAGGAGAAGACAAAAACACATTTTTTATTCAAAATTATTCCTAAAATTGAAATATATACTATAAATATATATAATTTAAAAAAAAAATAAAAAATTATTATTCCATAATTAAATCATAATTTATTAATTTATCATTTTAGTAGTTTAAAACATTATTGATCAGAAGATTAGTGATTATTCTCTTTTTCCAGTGAGATGAACTTATTTTAAATTAATATAACTATAATTTAAAGCATGAAATGTCTATCAACATGTGTAGTTAATTAAAATATACAGGTATCAATACAATATTTTAAATTTGCACAAATTCAATACTTTATTCATCATCACAATACAATTTGTGCTATCTCAACATATCATAACAGAACACTAGTTTTGAAACACTATTTAGAGTCAACCTATTCCGAATTTTAAAATGTACAAATGAAAAATTCAAAAACACTCTTTCAATGGCAGAAGGACATTAGTGTAAATGAGAAATTAATTCTTAAAATTCTCGGGAAATTTCACAAGAATTTAAATTTTGTGGTTTTGTTTGCATTTTGAAGTAATATTGGGAAATGAGGTGATTATCAAAATCTATCTAATAAAACATCCATCTTAACTTTCTTATGTCTCTCTTTAAATATAGTGTAAGAGTGATATGTAAGATAATACATACCAAAAGTTATTATGAAGAAGTAAAAAAAAAATAAAATTTGTAAAAAAACATTTATTTAAGGATTCTAAAATGAAAAAGAGGTCAAAAACTTTCAATCTTCTAAATATTATTACCCTTATATTAATTACTAATATTTTAAAAATAATTTTTTCATGTAATGTATCAAAATTATTATTCCTTATGATTGATTTAAATTTGCTTCAAGCATTTTTTAATATTTAATCAGCAATTTAGATAATTTGGTTTTTGCCGGTTTTTACCAGGTTTTTGCCACTGTCCTGGCAAAAACTCCAACCCTGTATTTAACTAATTTATTGCATAAATATAAAAATTGTTTTTAGCTTGTCAATATTGTTTTCTTGACTGAAATTTAATGTATTGAAATGGAGCTATTAATTTTATGAAAAACTTAAAATACGCAATAGTATTTTAATAGTAATGAGATATATTTTAATCATTTATAAATATTGTTTACGAAATTATAATTTTATTTTCTATTTAATAACCAGTTATTTTAGACACATAATAGTTTGTTTTGTCTTTTCTAAACTATTTTTGGTTTGATGAAATGCATTTATGAATTGAAGTGTAAACTGTATTTTTATGGGTGCTTAACTGATAATCTAAGATTATGAAGGGTGGTCGACTGTGTGTATTTTTTTTTTCTTCCTGTCTAAAATGATTGGATGTTGGCAAAGAATAGAATTTCCTACTTTCATCATTGGTGCCACATGTTCTATTAATAGCTTCTTCAGAGCAGTCTCTCTCACAACCCAATTTTTTTTTTCTCTCTTTCCCCAAGTTGCCAAAAGTGTGTGTTAGAAGCAATTTCATTCTAAAATCTCTTAAGGGTTATTTACCTTCAAAATAATTATTTATTTTAACATAGTACAATGCTAATGGAGTTTGTCCTTATTGCATAGGATTGTTTATTTACCTTATTGTTTCCTTGCTTATTGCTACCATAAACAGGTATTTGTGCCAATTGTTGCATAATAAGTGTAGTAGTGTCATGTTTTACTTTTGATATTTAGTTGAAAAAGTGCTGAAAATTGTTATTTCCATATTCTTTGATGAACAAATTATTATTCAAATTGAAAAACTTGAGTTTTTATAGAATAATAGTAATAATCAAAACTTATTAAAAAAATTTGGTAAAGTTACAGCAATACCATGTTAAACTTTCTTAAGTTATTTTCCTACTATATATTTTTCTTAAAATGTACACTATAGCAAAGGAAGTTAATTCTGATTGCATATCTGTTCGCTAATTGTTAATTTCTTTTCTTGTTACTAATTTTAACTATTTACACATTTAATAATTTATATTTACGCAATACTTAAGATAATTTGTAACTGATAATTAGCACTTGTAATATTTAGGTCTGTTGTTCAAAAATATTTTAATGTGTTAAAAGGACTATAGTGAATATTTGTAAAAGTAAATGTGAAAAATTAACTGTTATCTTCATTAAACTTATGAAATTAGTTTTTTTGTGACGAGAGTTTCGCGCAGTCACTACGTACTTCTTAACATGTAATTGAATGTTTATTGTGTATTTGTATCGTAAATAAATTTGAGTCTAAATTTTTTTTAAAACTTTTAAGTATTTGATATCAGTAATAAGGAAATAATTATGAAAAATTTAAAAACTTTTTGTGTTTCTCATATTTTGTAATTATAAATAAAGTTATAATAAACATATAAACTATGCCTTTCTTATTTCAAAATCGAGGAAAATTATTTTCCTTTAAATGTTAGCTGTTAGAGATGTAATCTTACTGAAAGGTTTTATGTTCCATCTTTCTAAAAGTTTTTTTTTTTTCAATTTAAAAGTGATATTTTTTAAAAATATATTGATTTTGAAATTAGCCAATAGTATCAAGAAAATTAAACAGGATCTGACTGATAGTCATTGTCACTCTTTATGGATGTAAGGCCAAGTTTAAAATGCAATTGTTCTAGTAATTTTATTTATTTGACATTCTTGCGTTTTAGCCGTAGTTTGTTTTTGTAGTAGTTTTTAACTGCATAAACATTCTGAAATTTTTCAAAGTTGTTTTAATTTATAGCATTATTTGATCAGCTTTACTAAATTATTTAATTTCATTTAAATTTTGGTCAGCATAGCTAATTCAGGTTATAATGCCATTAAGCATTCCATTCAATTAAGTTTTTATCCGTTAGTTTTTTTGCAGCAAGAATGATTTCAGCTCTTTTTCTCAACCTTTTAAGGTTTGGAAAGATCAGGGATTTTTTTAAGAAAAAGGAATTCCCAACCCACCTGGGGTTTTTGTCAAAACCCAGAGTTTTATGGGGGTTTTGAATACGGACTTTTTTTTTTTTTTACCAAAAATGTTTTAAATTTTAAGTCCTGAATCCTTCAAAAGATAGTATTTGTTCTTCTCAGAACAAATGCTGCTATCTTTTTTATCTTTTTTAACAAAAGTTAAGTGTTTGGTTTTGGTAACTATCACTTCTTTTGTTGCACTAACCATTTTTTAGGGAAGTTTTAGATTTTCAGATTATTTGTATTTTGTAATGACAAGCTTTTTAACAGGTTTAAATTTAAAATTTTTAAATTAAAGCATCCCAAAATTTCTTATTGCTTTAACACAGATTTACTGGAGTCTACTGGGATAAAATTCGCATTTTTGTTTGGTTACCATTACAACTTTATCTACAATTTAGTTTTTTAAATTCTTATTCAACTTTTGGTTTCTATAAAATTACGTAAATATTTTTTATCAAACAGATTGTTTAGTAGTGTAAGCTAATTCCTAATTGAAAATTTGTATCCATTACTTAAATTGCGAATTTTGACCGGAAACTATTTTAAAAGCTTATTATATAATTCCTATAATAATAAATATAATATAATTCCTATAATAGTAAATACAATATTTACTCATTAATAATTGCAAAATGTTAAGTTAGGTAATTCATTTTCAATATGGTTGTCATAAAATGTCACCTAATAATTTAATATTACAGGATTATTTCGAACAATAAAAAAATTCTGTCTTTAGTTTTAAGCCTTTGATTTGGAAAAAATAATAAAAATCAATTTCTTTAATAAAAAAGAAAAATTTAGTTTAACTGTGTTTGAATTTTAAACTGCAAAATTTTTTTTTACTATAAAAAATGTTTAGAAATATAACTGTTTTATCTTATCAATTTTACTAATCAAAATTTACCTTTAGGGGATGTGCGCCACCGCAACAACTGCTGCTGATGAACCTCGAGCTCTGTGCATCATTCGAGACTTGTCCAATGGCCAAGTAAATCACATTTCTATGTCTAGATTAATATTAATTTTCACATAGGTAGGGCCCTACAAATTGTACGAATAAGCAGATAACCACCTAATTTTTATTTTCTGCATATTTTGGCAAAATGACTTCATTTTCTTTTTCTACTCTTAGAATTCTTTTAACAATTTATCCTTGGATAACTTGAACAATTTATCCTCGGATAATATCCTTGTTGTAATATTTAAAAAATTATTATTGAAACAGTAAAGAAAATGAAAGCTCCTGTTTTCAATTTAGTTTTTTTCTTTCCTTTTCTGTTTTAGTTGTTTTCTGAATCATCCACACTTTAAAAAAATTGTCCTCTTTTTCTCTTAAAAGATCAGCATAATTTATAGGGCCTTAAATATAGGTATATTCAATTTAATAAGATATTATTTTTAGCCTTTTTTTTAAAGTTTATAAACTTTTCTGTTCCTAATAAAGAAAAAATAATGTTAATCTGTTATGCCTGGATGTTGTACAATAAATTTTGAATAAAACCCACCTTTAAATAAAACGTTTCTTTAAGTGGGCCCACCAAAAAAAAAAAAAAAACCTNCCTAAATTGCCTGGGCCTATATTATATTGCTTTGCAATATATATATATATATATATTTAAATAAAGGTAAATAATTGGTACTGTCACTGTGGATAGATGTATATTTGATAATAAACAATTATAATACAATTTTTAAAGCCCTTAATTTTTCAAAAAAAAAAAAAAAAATCGTTAATTTTTTTTAAAGGTTCTTAAAAATCCCTAATATTTACTTAGATAAAGGAGTAGAAACCCTGTAGAATAGATTTTTTGTGTGTGTGTGTGGATAAAAAGTACTTAAGATAATTCTAAAAAAAAATAATTTAAAGGATTATCTAATTTTCACAAATTTTTAGGAAACTGCACTTGGTGAAAAAAATATTGAAGACAGTTTTTGCTATTATATAATGATAATTTTACTTAATAATTTATTTGATAATTTTAATAATGATGGTCTTTAGTTATTAATGGTAATTATTTCCTTTCAGCTTAACAATAATAAATCTGTCATCAATTTGCCAGCTTCTACAACGGCATCACAGTTAATGCAAGAGGTTGGAAAAAAATTTCAGTATGAACCTGACAGTTTTGAGTTAGTCTTGCAAAGGATATGTGATAAAGAAACGGTTTGTCATATCTTACTTGCAATTTTTATTTAATAAACTTAATACTTTAATTTTTGAGGAAATTGTTTTGGAAAATATGTGATTATATTTTGATTATTCATCCTATTTTTGAACTTAAATCTTTTCTTTATAATGATAATTATCAAATGATTTCTGACTTTTTCCCTTTTATCATACTTAAGGAATTTAACTCAACTTGATTAAGATGATTACTTTTATTAATTTGCTTCTCATACTAATGCTTAAAGGTCCTCTGCACTTAATGTTAATTTAAGTCGTAAATTTTATATGTCATCATGAAATGTTCTTGTATAGTTTTATTTATTAACTGTTTAAGTGCCCTGTGGCAGATTTTTTTGGGGGGGTTTTCTGTGACAACTTAGATATTGTTGATCAAGAGAATCTTGAGGATTGTAATTAAATTTGTAATATGACAGATAATTATAGAGCTTATTATAGTTGATTCAAATTTTATTTTCAGTTTCCATAATTTTATTTACCTTATCGTTATAAATACTGCAAAAAGTTGGATAGTGATCACTTATGTCATTTATGAATAATCCGGATTTCACTGAAAATTCATTTGTCTTTACAAAGACATGATCAATGCAAGTTGATGAGGAATTTACTCTAGTTGAGTCCATGTAATTTTGAAATCCAAATTGGCATAATGAATTAATATATTCATGAGTAATAAAATCATCATTAGGCGCCATTCAAAAAGTACCTACATCCCGAAGGGGGGGGGAGGGGATTTGCTATTTTGTACAGTTTTGTACAATGAGGGGGGAGGTATTATACAAAGTACGTATATTATAAGCATACACCAAATTTAAATTTGACTTTTTCCTACACACTCCTTAAATAAATATTTAATTTTATTTAAAGCATAATTATTTTAATTTTTATGAAAAATAAATGTACATACTCAAAGGGAGGAGAGTAAGACCTTATGTACGGTAATGTACGAAAGGGGGGGAGGGGTTGAAATTTCTCCATTTTTGTGTACGTCCTTTTTGAACGGTCCCTTAAGAATATCAATATTTATATCACCCATCAGTATTATATTAGGATATTTAAGTTTAGAAATTATTACTTTTTGTTCAGTATTAAAAAAATCAACACTAAAATCATGAGATCTATATAAAGATAGAAATAATAAATCCAAAGGTTTGCAATAAAGTAATATAGATTCTGCGGAAACAAAATGTATAGCTAACTCTGAAATATCAAGACATCTTTGAATAAAAACACAAACACCTCCAGAGCGATTATTATTTCTGCAATTAAGGAATGAATTATAATCTATTGAGTAAAAATTAGTTTCATTTTGGTAAATCCAAATTTCTGACATAATTATCACAATTTCTTGCATAATTATTTATTTAGCTTAAATTTTTTATATATTGTTTTTAGACTTTAGTGATAGTTTTTTTTTCATTCAATATCAACTCTTGTTTAACTTTTTTAAGAGTATTTTCTTACAAGGAAGTGTCTAATATGCTGCATAGTGTTTATAAAAAGTGCTTAAGGGTGCTCATTTTCAATTTTTGTTTTTTAAAAGCCCTTAAAGGTTCTTTTTTCATTGGGTGTTTTTAAAAAGTGGTTAATTTTCACTTTTTGAAAATGAGAATTTCTTCTTTACAATGTCGATTTTCGCCGCATATTAGGCAAAAGTGTGCTTTTTACATTGCTCTATTCAATGTTTTCACAATTCATTCAACCACAATCCATTTCGCGTACTGTCTGTCTGTAGCATGTGAAAGCTCCAATAATTTACATGCTTGATGAAGTACTTGGGAGTCCACATGTGCGTCTACTTAGCTGGTTTTGATAAGATTATTGCACTCTCATGTGCAACTCTGCTGCATTTTGCAAGATATTCTCAATTTCATGCTTCATTTTCCACCGTCTGAAATTGAACCGAAAAATCCCTTGATCATTTTATAATGGCTAATATAATCAAGAAGAGAGTTCTTTGCCAGAAACTAATTATTTTGCATTTTGTCAATGTATATAGTGCTTAAAAATATTTTTTTTTGTACTTTAAAAGTATTTAAAAGGTGCTTATTTTTTGTTGAAAGATTTGGCTACTCACCCTGGTCTAACCCTGGTACTACTCCTCTTTTTTTATTTCTTAGTAGAGTTTATATTTTTTAAGAATAAAAAATCGATTGTTGAACTCTTTTTTTTTTAATAATAAATTTTATTGCTCATTGCTTTCAGTAAATCATATAATATTTTCTTTCAGATCCACATTCATGAACACACAGAAGAAACTTTAGAAGAGTTAGGATTTCGATGTGGTGATAATGAGAGAAATAACCTGATTATTGGCAATAAAAATGCATCTGTTCCTAAAAAAACTTCTGTAATTATTTTATTCATATCATAACTCAAATATTTATATATTTATATATATCATAACCCAAGAAATTTTTCAGAATTTTGACTTGGGCTCACAATCACCCCTGTCTTGTTCAATTTTGCATTTTTCGCATCACTGCGGGTGCAATGTAAAAAATTTAATTAAACAGGAATGCAAAATTAAACAAGAATTTTTCTGCTTTTGACTTCCAAATTGCAGAGTTAAAACAAAAATTATAGTTTTATTTGTTTACTAATGGGTAAAGAAATTTTTTTAAATATTTTTTTCTCTTATGATATATTTTTATTGAATTAAAATATAAATTACTAATAATAATTTTTTGTGGTTCACTGTATGTTTTAACCTCGGCATTGTCAGTACAAACTGCAATAATAGACTGGAATTTTTTAAAAGTATGTTTGGAAAAGTCAGGGGAGTTTGTTTTTCTATTTGAGTAGCAACCCTGGTTTCAAGTTAATCTTATTTAATAAATGTTTTTCAGACCACAGAAGTAGAGCAATCATTCAGCTATACTGATAATTCTGCCATGGATACTAATGTCACTCTTTCTACTCAACCTTCTTTTCCTATACGAGATCTTTATAAGAATTACACCTATAGCAATGCTGTTGCCTCTAAACAAGATACGGGTATCTGACATTTTATTTTTATCAGTTACTTACAATTATTTACAATATTATTTTATTTTAATGCAGATAAGTTTTACAGTTGACACTAATGCTACTATTATTATTCTAAACACTTGGGGGGATAAAGAATTGAGCATAATCAAATTAAATGTTAATTTGCAAATGAGCCTTTAAGCTGGCGTAGTGGGTTAAAGCTCTGCTTTCCGTGATTTGTACCGGGATTCTATTCCACTTGCTGATGGTTCAGTATCTGATCAAATTGCATACCAGCCAAGTCTCCTCTATTTTACGACTATTTCCTGTTTACCCATGTATTCTCAAATGTCTCCGTATTTGTTGAAGAAAAATAAATAAAAATTGGTGATAAAATATCCGCTGATGGCAGAAATGCTTCTCATACTCCTCAATTCTATAACCTGTACTGCAGTACCCATAAGCTTTAAAATGTTCTGCAACAGGACTTATTAATTTATACAAATGTTCTGCAAGCATTTCCCAGCGAAAAAAAGTCAACTTTACGTAAATACTATATTTTCATTTATTAAAATACAGGATTACACACAGATACAATACATTATTTTTTAAACCAAGGCAAACATTCTTGATTTGTTACTTTTTCAATCACTCTTGAGGAACAAAATTTTGTTAATGACAATGATGAGGATGAATTGTTAATAAAATGCATATGATATGAAGGTCCAAACATTAAAATAAGGGCTGCCTTAAATATCTTTCGAAGGGACAAGTGCCCAGATGGTGCACCATTTGCAAACACAAACATTCGCTGGTCTGTTTTTTCAACAACTTCTTCATCTCCATCAAAAGCATTTGGTCTTTCAGAAACAATTCTGTCAATCACGGATCCCCATGATTCACAAATTGCTTCTGAAATAAGAATGGAAAATATAAAAGTCCTAAACTTTATGAAATTGGAAATCTCTGAATTTAATTCTTTTACGGCTTGCTTTAGAAGCTCTCTTGATAAAAATGGTGATCGATTTCTCCTGCTGTATGCTAAAAACTGATACACCCATATTATAAAAAAGTTATAGCCAAAACCTAATTCGCTAATTTCCTCCTCAGAATGGCAAAAATACGGAAAAGGGAGATTACTGATAAATGTGCTGAAATTTGTGTCTCTTATTCAAGATACAAATTGTTCTGCAGGACTTCGTTTGTTCTGCGACGTACAGTTTTAGGCACTTTCTGCTTCTGGGCTGCAGTATATTGAGTGTTTAGAGTTTAAGTAATTATAAATAATGGTTTAAAAAAGTCTTCTTTAGATTAAGATTTGTATACATATTTTTTACTTCACTAAATGTAAATGTTATTTCCAATTTTGAAACACTCTTTATTACTTATGCGATTCTGCATAAATGCATACATATGCATGATGTAACAAAACTTTGCTCATCGCCTAAGAAATGTCGATAGTAAAATCTCCGTTATTTTATTTCTCCAATGTTGGCAGGCTTGGCAATTACAACTAGTAAAGTTAGCCCAATAAAGCTCATACAGGAGCATACAAGATTGTGTTTTTCCTTTTTAATATATTGCGTATAATATTTATGGGGAAAGCACGGGAGATTTTGAGTGGCAACCCTGAATAAATTGTTCGGTAATATCATCCTTTTTCTAACTACCCATTTTACAGATCATTGCTTATAGCCTGTGAGTACAGTTGTAGTGTGGCATAAATAATTCACTCAATTTGTTTTTATGCAATTAAACCTTAGATAAGATAGATATTTTCCTTACTAACACTTTGTTGAACTAAACAAAGCTGTTTAAATTGTCAGAAATTTTATGCATTTTAAATTATTTTATGCCTCATTTCTAGTCTAGTACAAAGCTAACTGATTATTTATTCGCTAAAGGTTATGTTGGACTTGTTAATCAAGCAATGACCTGTTACCTTAACAGTCTCCTCCAGACACTTTTCATGACTCCAGAGTTTAGAAATGCTTTATATAGGTAATATATTCATTAATAACTAATTTTGTACTTATTCTCTCACCTGTTTTTACAGGGTTCTTATGTATATCCGGGGTGATTGTATTCCAGGTTTTTTGTGTAATCTGTCCACGCCTAGAAACTAGGACAATCATCCAGGTCATGTGATTTTTTACGGAATTCAGCGTACCTCAAAACTTGATTCGCGAACTTCTGCGATTAAAAACTTATAATCCAACAAAATGTTTCGCAAAAATTTAAAGTAAGAATTAAGCTCTACATTCTAAAATGTAAATTTTGAAACCTTCGATGAATTGCGTTAACAAAACAAGTGACTCTTCCGCAATTTTGATTTTTTTTTTATTTGTCGGATTTTGATTGTTTTTAATATTTGAAACTGCGCCTAGTTGTATTCGTATTTACGCTTTTCAAAAATCTGATGTTGCTATTTGTGTTATCGCTTTCGTAAATCCAGTATCATGATTCATATCTACGCGCTTTTAAAACACGATATCGTAATTTTTTGATTCCTCATTCTTAAAATCCGATATCGCCATTCTTGTAAGAACTAAATTGTTTCTTAAATTTGTTACTATAAAAGTATGTTTTATTGAAAGGTAATTTAATTATAAATCTTAGTTCAAAAAATTATATTAAATATGAATAGTATATAAATTGATATCTTGTTATCGAATTTTTGCTCTTTAAATTTTCAGGGATTTTCATTTTCTGCCACAGTCACCCCTGATATATTTATAAAAACCATGTCAAGAATGAAGACAATAGAGTAAAACACATTGAAGGCTGTAAATTAATATTTAAATGTGACAAATCATTATGAGGAGATAAATTTTCAGAAAACTAAAACCTGTTCAGCTGCCAGAAAGAACAGGAAAAAAAGTATCATTAGAAACACTTAAGTTTCAACTAGCTATCAATCGGAATTTGTACAAACACTTTTCTTTCCACATTTCAGTGGCATTTTTTTTTTACTTAAAAACTAATTTGAAACTTCAATGTACATACTTTTAGTCTTCATTCTTTGTCAAAAAATCTAAATAAATATTTATATATGTGATTTTTTTTCTCTATAAATGTTTACTTTTGCCTGAGACAATTAAAAAAGAATTCATTTCATATTTGACTTACTGTTGATCATTTTTATATTTAGACCATACATTTAAGCATGAAAATCAACAGTGAGGATTGAAAAACTTTAAAAATACAAATTTTGTGGCATAAATTAAAATTGCACAAAAAATTGTAATTACTGTTTCTTCACTGAATCACAAGAAGGAATTTTTCTTTCTTTCTATGAATCAATAATTAATATGTTACTATAGGAAAAATATTTTGTTGAAAACTTAATATTTTCTTAAAAAAGAGATTAAATCTAGAATTTTGAAGAAATATTAAGAATTTTCGTAAGAATTTAAACTTTTTGAAAACATCTTTGTATTACTAATGTTTTTATATTGCATTTAGTAAGGATCCATTTTGTAAGCAAACACATAATTTATAACCAGAACTCTTGTTTATTATTTTAAAATGTATAACTGTGTATGAGGGCTTTTATTCCAAAAAGGACTAGTAATAAACTAAAAAACAATTTTTTTTAAAATTTCTCCACCACTTGCATTATAAATATTAAAAAACATAATAAATTTTGTTTGTACAATTAGTATATATCCTCTAAATTGTTTATGGTTTAATTGATATAGAAATTTACCTTGGTTGAATTTTTTAAATTACACATTATTTCCTTTCTTTTATATCTTGTGCATGTGACCAATAAAATTTTTCATCAGAACAGCACAGTTAAGTTTCAGTTAAATTTTAGTTTTATTCTTGTTCTTCTTTTATCACCTATATTTATACAATTCATCTGAAATATATTAAAAAAAAATATGTTAACAAGTAATTAATTTATATTTCTACAATAAGTAATTTTTTTAAAGTAACTAAGCTGTTATTTATACTAAAAATTTTTTTAAATAATAACTGACAAAAAATTATAAAATTTAGTTGTTAATTTTGTTACAATTATAACTTAAAGTGATTTAGCATTATTAGTGATTCTCAATAAGAGTAAAAAGATAACACAAAAAATTTCCAATCAATAATTTGAAAAAGTAAATTAAAATGCAGTTAAGATTCGAAAAAAAAATTATCTATTAAATTTTACTCTACAAAGTTTATATTTTGATTTTCTAAATCAAACTATATTTGAAACACAAAACAGAATTACCAACTAAATGCTTTTAAGTACACTATTTTAACTTTGTCCCAATAATATTAATAACAGTGATAGATTTGTTCTAAAGTTTTAAGATTTATTCTTATGTTTATTAACAATATTCTTATTATCCATTAATAATGTTTTTTTATTGCTGTTTACTGTCTGAGACAAAAAAAGAAACTAAATAAAATAAAATGAATCAAACACATTAAAAAAATTTCTTCTAATCGTGTAGTAATGATAGACCCTTAAGCAATTATTTTCCCCTTTTAAAAACATTTCTGGTTGGGACAGTAATTATAAAACAATGGTTTTTGTCAGCTACATGAACAACTATTTCATTTCCTCTATTAAAAATAAGTTGTTCCATTTTGTTCTAGTTTTTGTTTGCTTGCAATTTCTCAAATGGACATTCAATTGAGTGACTCAAAGATTTTTTAAGGTGAAATTAAGCTTATTGAACCTGCAAGAAATGATACTGCAATTAAAATTTACTGTTCTGTGTAACTTGATAGTTATACTTTCTTTAACTAAAGTTATCTATATTGTTTTATTGGCACTCTCCATACTCAGAGAGTAGTAATTATACAAAAGTTAGGGACATGTACAAAATTATGGGTAAAACAAGTTATTCTAAAGTTAATTGCCATGGTGACTTAGGTGATAGAGCCCTCGCCTCTCAGTGAGGTGAACTTTGCCACAGTGCAGACGTAAAATGTCCTCAGTGGTAGGCAGATGGTGGGTTAGAGTCCCTTTACTGTCGGGCTAATCATAGGATGTTTTTGTGGTTTTCTTCTACAGTGGCAATTTTCTCCTATTACTTGATCCAGGAGTTCCCCTGTCTTTTGGATTGGGTTCAAAATTTCAAAGCTAAAACGTTAAGCATTTGTAGTCATACAAAATAGAAGGAAAAATACAATAAATTTTGATAATTATGTATGTAAATATGTACATTTATACATATATATATATATATATATATATATNTATATATATATATAGAGAGAGAGAGAGAGAAAGATATAGAATAGTTACGGAAAATCCTATTTTCATCTCTGATTAGCTTACTATTTTGTCATTTTTTATCCATTTAAGATGTTTAATTAATTATGATCATTAGGAGCAAATAATGTGATTTCAATAAGTAAATAATTTCAAAAGAACTGTGCAAAAATAACTAAATTAATTTTTCTTTGTTTGACGAATGTATCAGTATTTGCATTGGTAAAACGTATTTATTAGTAAAAAAATAATAAACTCTCATTTTTTAAAAAAAAAATTATGTGTTAACATATTTTTCAAATATCTGCAGTAAAGTATTATGTACGAGGGCTTTTTTTTTTCCAACCTCCGATGGGCTGTAAAGAAAAGGCAGGTCAATATAAAAAAAAAGATTTTATTACCAAAAGTAATATACACTACAGCTTATTTCTCTACATAATCACCTTGACGATTAAGGCATTTGTCATATCTGTGAACAAGCTTTGCAATACCCTCTTCATAAAATGTAGCCACCAATGATTGGAAGTGAGTTGTGACGGTTTCTTTGAGCTCCACGTCAGTTTGGAAGTGCTGCCTTTCAAGCCATTGCTTCAGTTCAGGGGAAAGATGATAATCACTTGGTGCTAGGTCGGGACTGTATGGTGGGTGTTCGAAAATGTCCCAGTGAAATTGCTGAAGGAGTCGTTGGGTTACACGAGCGCTGTGGGGATGGCATTGTCCTGTATCAGAACAATTCCAGAAGTCTGTTCTGTTGAAAAGAAGATTGCCTCTTCGTTTGTTTTGAATAGCTCTCCGTAAGCGTCGTTATTGTGATTGTCGTTTCGTTTCGGGCGTGTCAAATTGAACCCATGTCTCATCACTATGCTAATATAGACTCATTAATTCACTGCCGCGCCTAATCGGAAGCAAAAATCTATTTATCACTCTCTTTTTTCTTTTATTTCTTACCTCAAATCTGTTTTAGCTGCATGGTTATAATAATTTTCAAAGTCTTGTTGGTGATTTGCGATCACCAAGTTATTTTTCAAACCTAATATTGATTATGAGGGGTTGGCTTTATTTTTGGCTATGTTATTTTTCGATAAATCACCAACCATGGATCTCTTCTCATGATTCTAACTGTCTTTTGGGAACAATTCAATTACTTTTTGATTAGGCATGTCATGGGTAATTTTTCTCCCGTGGCCTGTCCTTATTAATATTATTATGCAAAATTTATTTAACTGGAAGTCTTATAAAGTATAATTTTTGTATCTACAAATACTAAATAAAAGTTTTACATTAATTATGATCCAGTTATCATCTCCAACTGTCAAATTTCATCTTGTTTTCATCACAATCTTCAATTGGTCAATTATATCTTACAACCACACCTGATTTTCCCTCTTTACACTATAAATTTTTTTAATTATTATTTTCTTATGGGTGTTCCCTTAACGTCAATGGTTTTTCTGATTTGTTTTAAATTTTTAATGGAATAATATAAAAAAATTGGTTAATGAAGAAATAATAAATGTTTAAACAAAAAGAAATATCCGAAACTCACAATAAATCTTAGACGTTAGTAGCTAGTTTACTTTATTATTATTTCAAATATTTTTAATTCATTTCAGTGAATATATAAAACTACTAAGAACCTCATGATTGATAATATTTAGTGTAGACCATAATCTCGAATGTTAAACTTCTAAGAATGTCAAGTTCACCTTGCAGATGGGTCTTCAAGTGCAGATGAGTGGAAAGAGTATATTTTCAAGAAAGATTTTGTTTTATGTGAACCATTCATAAACTGAAATGACAGTTTTATCTGTTTGTGTCATTTATAATTTATTCTAGTTTCTTAAATCTATTGTGTTTGTTCTGCTCAGGTGGGAATTTGATGGTACTGAGGAAGACGGAACAAAGAGCATTCCTTATCAACTTCAAAGGTTGTTTTTATTGTTACAGGTTCGTCATATTTTACTTTATGGGTGTAGTTCATGGTTTATAACTTTTTTTGTAAAAAAAGTATAACAAAATAAAAATGCCTTGCTTAACTGATACTTTTTATATTAAGTGCTTCCTTTACCAATTTTTCAGAGGAAAAAAATGTAAAATATCATCATATTTTTTTATATTAATAAATACAAGGAACTAAAACAAAACATAATACACAAGTTTTAAGTTGAAAATTTATTTTTTTATATGTAAAAAACATTTGATTTACGATTAGTTTACTATCCCAAATTATCTTGGGCAAATGAAAAAAGTTAAATATTAGTTTTTATATGATAATTTGGTGACCCTACTTACGCCAAATTTGGCGGCCCTACTTACAGCAACCCTACGTGTTATACGTGGCTTTTAACAAAATAATACATGGTTTAAACAAAATAATATAAAAAAAAGTGCGTGGAGTCCCTCCGCGCGGAAAAAGTTAAACTTCGTAACCTGCGACGTTAATTGTAGAAGAATCGGCAGTCGTAGAAGGATCACTAGTTCTATTTAACGACTCTTTTTTCCTGCTCCCTATTAAATTATATGTGTATCAAAACAAATTAAAAAAGTATTTATAGAAACAAAAGTTTTATGACTTTTGTTCATTTTATGCTAGTGAGAACCAAACAATATGGAAATTAATGAGGGAAAACTGGATCCTACCACGTGATTTCCCGGCCAATAAAAATGTAGCGTTAAACGTTTAACGCATAAGAAGTATAACTTCAAAAACTGTATTTGTTATGAGAAATAATGCACTATGTGATGTCGAAATAATATGTAATCTAAGAGGTTATTAAAATATATGCTTATAATTTTGTTTATAAAATACTTTGTTTTATAAAAAAAATTGATTTCAATTTTTCCTACTTACGCCAAATTTGGCGATTTATGTGAATTTTGGCCTGGTTGCTCTAATACGTAAGTACCAATAATTTTTAAAACAAGGGACAACACAAAAGTGATAGTTTTCTAACGCCAGTGACGTGATCTGCCTTTTTTTTCTTCTTAACTCTCATTTTTTTCTATGTAAATTGAGGAACCATTGTATATACAATCAAACAAAATACATGTGCAGCAGCGTCCAACAGCATAACTCCCAAACAAAACTTGGCAAACTTCTAGTCACAACAAATCATCATTATTATTTTGCTTGCCGAGTAAAAGTGTGATAAAACAAAACGTACTGACAAATTTTGCTACGCCAGAGTTTTCTCGGGATAATAACTATTTGCAATATATACTTATCCAAGTTAACCTTGGGATAATCAGGGAAGTGGTTAATTTCAAATTATATATGAAAAAAAATTATTTATTGCAATATATACTTATATAAATTGCAATATATACTTATCCAAGTTAACTTGGGATAATCAGGGAAGTGGTTAATTTCAAATTATATATGAAAAAAAATTAACCTATGTATCATACAAACTGAGATATTAAATGTATTTCTGAGGGTTTTTACTGTTTGGGCATTCACAGTCTAAAAAGTAATTTTTAGAGAGCAATACCCCATAATATTTTGAGCAGTGAAATTTTAAATATGGGAGTAAGCTTCAACACTGTTATGTCTTATTTCTTATAATCTTAAGTATTATAGAATTATTGATTGATTATTTAACATTATTCAAATTTACTCCCAATTTTTGTACTGATTTAGATTGAAGTACCTAAAATAAGTGAACTTGCTTATAAAATATTGAAAATTTTATTTTTGTATGTCGTTTCCTCTTTAATTTTAGAGCATAAGATAACGTAAGTTACTGATTTTTTAAAAAGAAAGATTTGTTGTCTTTTTTTTTTTTTATAAAACAATTTATCAGTTTTAACAAAAATTTATGAGGAGCAATTTCAATCTTAATAAGATTCCAGAGCAGAAATACGCGTACATACCTGCCAAGTGCCCTGTTTTTTAACGAAAACTCCTGTATTTTACAACTATCTCCTGTTTACCCGTATATTCTCAAATTTCTCCGTATATGTTGAAGAAAATTGGAAGAAAAAAAATCAGTGATCAAATATTTACAAATAGCAAAAATACTTCTCTTATTTTTCAACAGATAGTGCTCTTGCTAGCACTGCAGTAATGTTGAGTGTTTATAGTTCAAGTAATTATAAATAATGGTTTAAAAAATATTCTTTTGATTAAGATTTATATATATATATATATATATATATATTTTACTGAACATAAATATTTTTATTATTTCCAATTTTGACTTTTATGGTTATGGATGATGTATCAAAATTTTACTTGTAGCCCAAAAAATGTCGCTAGTAAAATCTCTGTTATTTTATTTCTCCAATGCTGGCAGGTATGAATACAAGTCTAGATGCATATTGGCCAACCCTATTCTTGATTTTGGTACCCTTTGTGCTAGTCTATGTACAGATCTTTTCTCCAATTTGCATATGAGGACAAATATTATGAACTGTATTTTATTACAATAGCGGGAAGCCGTTTTTATTATATTTGCGTTTACCTAGGTTTTTTTCTTCTGGAGATCAAGTTGACTTATACCAGCTGCCTATCTATGCCCTGAATTTAAACCCCTTTGTTTTGCAACAACTTTAAAAAGGATACAAAACACACATTATATTTTAGTTATAAGAGCTACCATTGTCTCAAAAATTAATTATAGATTTATATGAAATATATTTATACAATATTTTTAATTGCGATGAATAATCTAGACCTTTTTGTTAATTTATTAAAATAATTAAATTTGTGCTGGTTAGGTGTATAAGAGTATTAATTAATCATAGCTGTCAGCTGTTCAGAATTTTTCGGATTTGTTTCTTTTTAAATCAAATCTAAAAATCTGATACTTCTATTAAAAAAAAAAATAATTTTTGTAAAATTGCAGTATTTTTGTTTTTAAATCAATTCCTTGTTCTGATCGCTGCAAACACGCTTTCTGTGAATATTGTGCAAGAGTAATTTTTAGTAGCTTTTTATTGGAAAATACTATAATTATTTTTTTAAAGATTTATTGTAGTATTTAAACACTTGCATGATAAATATTTGTTTATGATGTAGATTATAAATTACTTGTGTTTTATAATTTGGAGAAGAATAATTATATATTAATATGTAATGGTTGTTTTTAAGCTATTATACCGGTATTCCTAATTATAAAATATTAATGTTATAAATTTCCCGCAAAAGATAGTGATAATAGTTTTGTTTTACTAATTTACATAAGATATTTAAATATATGACTATTAATGCTATGATTTAATAGTTGAATTTTTGTCTTACTCTTATAATTGGTGCGTATAATTTTGTCACATATAGTGTTCCGAATTTTTTATTCCTAAAGTTGGCAGCTATGATGAATTAGTATTTATTTTCATTAAAATTTTTAAACTTATTTTCCCTTCCTTTCCTTATATAGACTTCAAATAAACCTGCAGTTGGTACAACAGAGCTTACAACTAGCTTTGGTTGGGATAGTAGTGAAGGTAAATTATGTTTTTATCAGTAATGCTTTGATTTTTCTTTTTAATAAGAATATTGTAATTTTTATTGTATATAGCCAGAGATAAAAGAATTGCAATTAAACTTATTTTTGGAGCAGTAGACAAGAATTTTTGTAAACAAAAGTACAAACTAAATAAAAGTATAATCTTATACTTTTAAAATAGTGCATCATACTTAGTATTATAAATAGTGTATCATACTCATAGTAATATTAGTATTTTTTCATCAATATTAAATTGATACCTATTAAGTATTCTTGTGTCATGAAATTCCATATGAACCAGCTGTCTCATTTCATGTAAAATGTGTGTAAATATTTTCTTATTTAAGAATTGCTTTTTTATTTTTGTTTGATTTTCCTTAAATAAGGTTATTCTTTAAATTGAAATTTCCTTTTTATTGTTTCATCTTAAACTTATCAACCATTTTTTTTATGTTGCTTGTATACTTATCAAACTACAGCTATTTTTATCCACATTTTTATTTTGTAGCCTGGCAACAACATGATGTTCAAGAGCTATGTCGTGTCATGTTTGATGCTTTAGAGCAAAAGTTCAAAAACACAGAACAAGCTGATCTTATTAGTCGTCTATATGAAGGAAAATTAAAAGATTATGTGAAATGCCTTGAGGTAAATATTTGAATATTTTTTACAATTATTTTAATTAAAAACTTAAGTCTATTTTTATTGAGTGGTAAAGATCATGTAAAATTTTACCTTCATGTTCTCTACGAGAAATGACCTATCTTTATATTTTATGTATGAACAGGATTGCCACTCCACAGGGAGAACAGGGAAAATACAGGGAATTTAAAAATCGCCTAATATAACAGGGAAGTTTGAGTTTTTCTTTAGAAACTGGGAAAATACAGGGAATTTTAGTTATTTTTATTTTTTTAAAAATGGTAACCACTCAATGTGCAATCTGTGGGATATTTAAGGATGATATTTCAGTTATATTAAACTAGTTCATTTACTATAGCATTTGTTTTAAATATGTTCAGCTGTTCCTTTTTTCCTTCAGTTTTTTCAGCAATTATAACTAGTATAGTTAGCCCAATACAGCTCATACTAGAGCACAGTGGTTATGTTTTTCTTTTTTAATTATATTGTGTATAATATGTACAGGGGAAACACAGGGAATTTATTTTCAAGATTTGAGTGGCAACCGTGATGAAATAAATTTCTTAATTGTATTGTACTCAAATTTTGAAACTTTAAATGTTTCCTTTAGTGTACTTCCCTTCATTCAGTGTTTCAAAATGCATCCTAGGCTCTGCAAGTGACCTCCCACATTTCATTTATCATTCAGTTCCTCCTCTAGTTCAGTTCGTTTTAAATTGAACTGTGTCATTTAGTTTAGTTAAACAATAATTTAATAAAAAAATTACAAGGGGTGACTAATGTTTCAGGTGGTAGCTAAAACTTAAAAATCCATTTCAGATGCTTATAAAGAGAGACAGGAGAATTATGTCCATTTAGTGTTTTCTTCAGACCTAAATAATAATATCAGTAAAATCATTGTAAGCAGTTTAGTCATATTTTATTTGTTTCAAACATTAAAAAAATTCATTGAATAAATTCTATTTTGATTTTTGGCAAAATGTCCTAAAATTAATTGATGTCTCTTTAGTACCCGCTATTGTTGAGATTTCTTGGATCAATAAATAAGTATAAATCCCCACTTAATTTAATCAAAGTTTCTTTTGTTAAAAATGTTTTAGATTACATATTATTTTGTAGTAATCATTTGTAAGCTGTGCAAACTTTCTGACCTATTTCTTATGAAAAAAGTTATTTATTTTTGTTAGTAATACTTTTGTACAATTTTTATGTTTAAGATCTTTCAATGCTGTTTGAAATTTTCTAATATTTTTTAATATTATCTTTAAATGCAGCGGCTATAAAATAGTGCATGAAATGCATTAGAAATGGCGTATGTTTTAGGTTACCAATTATTTCCCTGTAATGGTATGTAATTTGGGTAAAATTTGGTGTTGAACTTTAAATCCTGACGAAATAAAATGCTCGGAAACCACAAAATAATGTAAGTACCGCTGAAAACAATTTTCCGGAAACGTAAAATCCCCGGGGGAAAGGTGCATGAAAAAACTATGCATTGCGTTCTACATGTTAACAGTGATCCTCGTGCGAAACCATGATTTCTGATTAAATTCGCTCTTTGCCATTTAACATCACAAAACGAACATTATTTTTGATATAATCAAGAGGGTCTTTGTCAGTGTGTTTAACAGCGTTAGAAAAGACAAAGATCCTTGCATGTTAAATCGCGAGCATCTTCTTATATTGGCCACTTAAATCAGATTTCTGTTGCTTGAAAAAGTTTTAAGATATCACTAACGATTGTAAAAGAATCAAAATTTTTCAAAATGATTAAAGAAAAATGTGATTTTTTTTTAAAAAATTTAGTTTGTTGAATGTTGCTATATTGTATGCTCACCATATGCTATTTTTTTCTTTTTCTTAGTGTGGATATGAGAGTGCCAGAGAAGACACTTTTCTTGATGTTCCTTTAGTCGTTCGTCCATTTGGATCTAGTCAGGCTTATGCCAGTGTGGTAAAGGAATTTAGTATTTGTTGTTTTTTTAGTAATCATCTAAGAAAAATCTTTAATTTTTAAATGTCATATGTGTTAGCAGTTAGAACTGCTATAATATATTTCATTCTAGTACCATTAAACTAATTTATTTCTGTATCACTGTTGTGTAAGCAAATTTTAATGATACACTTTAAATTGTTTATAAGAAGGCACATTCAAAAGCTTTACAGAAAGAAATATTTCTTAATAGAATTTTTCATTGTGTTTTAAAAGAAAGTGGGATTAACCCTTTAACGGGCCATTTAGTTCTAGTAATGGTAAAAAAAAGTATTTTTGGAATTGAAATTGTTATAAGAATAGTAATTGATATAAGAAAAAAAAACTCATTTAGTTTATAAAAATGCACTTTTTTTTGGTGGTAAGTATATTTAACTCAAGCTATTAGAAATTTATTGACTTTTATTTTTATTTATAAAATAAATTTTATAAATACTACAATCTTCAAAAGGAATTATGCATTTTATAACTTTTATCCGTTTTCTTAAACCAACAAATGGAAACCTTATTCATTTAGTTAAAAAGTTCACCATAGACCAGGAGTGATTGTATTCCGGGCGTACCCCGGAATTCCGGTTTTTTCGTATCATTCTCCCGAATCTAAAAACTAGAAGAGGTGATTTTTCCCGCAAACATTCGCAGAATTTAGTGATCTCAAGACCATGATTTTTTAAGAGACGATTTATAATTCGCGGACTTCTTCGAATTAAAAACTTATGTTCCGACGAAATTTTAAAACTTACCCACTAACAAGGCGTTAACATAGAAATTATTCTACCGTCAATTTGATTTGGCTGATATTTTGGTTGTGTCGGTATCTGCTATTATCGCGATTCGTATTGACGTTTTTGTAATATCAAACAGATTTTCGTATTTACCTGATTTAAGAGTTACATGTTTCGATTCGTATTCACCCGATCCAAAAATTATGCATTGTGATTCGTATTTACGTAATTTAAAAATTCAATATCGCAGTTTGTTGAGTTTTTAAAATCCTATATCGCGATTCATATTCACGCTATTTTAACATTTAAAATAGCGATTCATATTCAAGTTTATTCTTGAATTATTACTATAAAGGTGTGATATTCTTTATTAGTAGGTAATTTAATTATAAATGCTAGTTTAAAAAATTATGTTAAATAAGAAACATGTTTGTGGTGTATAAATTGACATCGATTTTTTGCTCATAAAACTTTCAAGGTTTTTCACTTAGTGTCACAATCACCCCTGATAGACTTTAAAAATTGGTGGTAAGTATACTTACCATGGCTTTAGAAAGGGTTAATACTTTTATAAATTGCAATTTGTTTTCCAAAGGAATTTTTAAAAAATTTACGCAATACCCCGGCCATTGGAAAAACCTAGAAATATCTTCTGTGTAAACCTCCCCAGACACAAGTCAATACTTCTCACAACTAGGACTGGGTGATGCAAGAAATTTTATATTGAGATATATCCTCGGTTAGACATCGTTCTATAGTCATGTAGCTTAAATTCAAAAAATATTCAGTTTGAATCAAAATTTCACAATCAGAAATCTAAAATCCATCAAAAAGAAATAAAATAAAACAAAAGAAAATGTTAATTCTAAAAAAATACTTCTGTAACATTATTAGCATTACCTAATTTTCGAATTATATAGATGAATTGACTTCAGACCGATGTCTTAAAGTAAAAACAACCACAAGCTTTGTTTTAATTTTTTTTTAAAAATTGAAAATGACTTAAGATTTAATGATAATGTATGTGTTGATTCGATGATCTGTGATATAATTATTTATTGCCTAGTCCTATTTGCTACTTTTACACGAACAACGTACTGGTATCGTATCTCAGCCATTTAAGCCCTCTTTGTTCTACAGTAGCTATTCTGATTTTAATCATACCTTGTTGTGCAAACACTTTTCTATTTAATGTTGTTGAACTCTAATAGGCTGTACATGGAGAGTTATGGAAAGACAATTTAAAAAAAAATTCTTTTAACCTTATTTCTAGATTTTACCACCTTTATGAGCAAAAAACTAAATTACAAACTCCACCCACGCTTACTGAATAAAGTTTGCTACTTTGTCCCATTTTGTTTTTTGCTTTCTAACTATGTTACTCAAATTTTCAGAACTTTCATATTGAACTCAATTAAAAGAATTTATTTTGCATTAAACAAAATTTAGATTTTAATTCATTTTATATAAATAGGAAATTCCTTGAAGAAATCTTTTCTTTGCTTAAATTTATCTTTTAATTCAAATTTAATATATTTCTCTGCTACATTTTTCGTCCTTGCATCTTAAAATATTTTATTTTCAGAAAAAATAGTTTCAATCTTGGCATGTTTTTTCAGGGAGAAGCACTGAGGGCTTTTGTCACGCCTGAAATCTTACAAGGCTCTAATCAGTATTTTTGTGAACATTGCAACAAGAAGTGTGATGCCCACAAAGGGTTGAAATTCATAAAGTTTCCTTATCTCTTGACGTTGCAGTTGAAACGTTTCGACTTTGATCCTGTCACTATGCATCGTATCAAATTAAATGACAGGTATTCTGATTTTAATGTTATTTCATCATTTTTTAGGTACAATTATGCTTATCACATAAAAATAAATGTTTTATCAAAATATGATATTTACTACAGTAGAACCTCGTTAATGCAAAATTGTAGAGACTATCATAATTATTTCTTGTTAAACAAGTTTTGTTTTATCCGTTACACCATGAAAACTATTATGTATTATTAATACAATACATGTTATCTATTAAATTAATGTAAACAAACAATACTATTATGAGCCAAACAAATAAAATAAGCTTAAAAGTTTTTTATTCCGAAATGAAAACAGAAAAATAAAGAGTATTTCTTTCCTTTTTGACAGGGTTGGGTTTTTGACGTCAAAAAGTGGTTTTTGATATGACAAGGGTATAATACTGGTTTAAACCGTCAAAAACCCGTCAAGAATGTCAAAAACTGAAGTTTGCCAAGAAAATATATAAACTTCAAAACTACCAACAGTTGCCATGCATTATATTGAAATTTAATTATACTATAGGTAATCAGCAGGTTTTAAAATATTTTTTAATTAAAATTAAGGTAAAATAACAGATTTAAAATCTCAGAAATTTATATTCAAATGCATGTG